AACACTGGCTTTGGGTATGTCCCTTACCCTTCGGGGGCTTCTCATGTATCCCCCTGCTTATCTCTGTCTCACTATTGCCACAGACAGGAGGGGAGGATTCACCCATGAATCTGCAGGCAGAGGCACATAAAGGGCTGTTATTTATCACCTCTTTTCATGTGAAAACCGCGGTGTGGACAAAATCCCAGCTCAGCACTTGAAGGCTCACTGATGGTATCCTGCATCTCTATCAGCTGCAAACATTTCTGTGTCCTGCAGGATAAAACCATACAAGGGCTGTGCTCACAGTGCTCATTGTGCAGGCTAGGCACAGCTAGGCAGTATATCATCCTCCCAGAAAATGGCCAGGACAGCAACTCCGACATCCGCTGCCTTGTTCAACAGCAATCTGTAATACAGCAGATGAAATTCAATTGCTTCCCAAAGAGCAAAGCAGATGCCTTCACCATCATGACCTGTCATATGAAGAGTCATAAGCCAAGAGCATGAGAAAGATTCAGCTCTCCTGCTTGGCCAACAAAATAAAATACTTGCTATTTTTTGGTAAAGTAAGAGAGTAGTTCTGGGACGGTAGAGCCATAGTGGCTGCTCAGAGAGAGAGAGGCTGTCACACAGCTTCTCTGCTGGCAGTGAAATGCCAGCGGGACTCTCCTCCCTTGAGCATGTATTTGAGGAGTGTGTGGTGCTTGCCAGCTGAAACATAACTGTTGGTACAGAGAAGACTGATGGGAGGGCAGAGGCAGGTAAGCTCACCAGGAAACATGACCAATTTTCTTTGGAAAGCAGTCCTTTGCTATAGGAGGGGAAATTATAGCAAGAAAAATGAGTAGAAGAGAATCCTGGACAAACTGCAACAGGAATATGGCATTTGTCTGAATGAGAAATGGGAAAATAGATCAGGCAAAGAGGACAGCAATAGAGAATAAAGTTTAGAGAAGATGTGTGAGTTAGCTTAAGGTAGGCAAGGAAAGATGAAGGAGATATAAAGTGGAATGTAAAATTTAGATAGCAGGTGGGAAGCAATCAGGAAGCCTGTAGTGGGTCTGGGAGGGGAAATACAGTAAAGAAAAAGACAAATATAGAGGTAGAAACACATAGAAACAGAAATTAAGATGTTGCTGCACCAAGTTTGCACAGGTTCTTGTGATGATGATTACCTGAGTGCCTATGTGCTGTGCTCCCTAACTCCTCCAGGCTGGGAGCACAGCACAGATACCCATGCTGGCCCTGCATGAGTCCTGCACAGCTCTGCAGGAATTACAGCTATACAGCACATCTTCTTGGCCTCAGATTTGCACTTCCCCAATAAGTCCTGCTTACATATTGGCAGCCATGTGCTGTAGAGCCCAGGAGCCACTACCCAAAAGGCAATTATTTACTTAATGTTCATAAATTAATATCCAGCTCCTGGAGTCATCTGGCTCTTTAGGCTTTGGTGAGATTCTGTCTCTCATGTTCTCTTTTCCTTTTCCTTTTTTTTTTTTTTTCTCCCCAGTGAACACAAGATAGTGTGGAGCTGTTGATGTGTTTAGTACAAGTTTATCTTGAACACATCTGCTTATGCCAAGGGAATAGTATGAACTCCCAGTGACCTGTAGAGCCTGCATTCCTAATTAGCTGAGAAATATTCCATAATCAGGGTATTGCCATTTCAATGGAGTCTATAGATAGAAAGGTCATGTTCTCGTCTGGGGTCACAAATAATCACTTCTGACTATATAGTTTCATTCTGGCCTAGAGTTAACCAGGTGCAAAGCTGGTAAGCAGCAGACAAGATTACACTGTCTCACAGAGTACATCTACCCTGAGGGCTGGCCTTATGTTTTTCAGTCACATTTTTTTCTTCCAGCCTCTAACAAACATGTACAAACTCTTCAAGCATGACTGAGTAAGTGCTTTGAAACAATGCTGGGTTTTATGGCTGCTTTGCTGCAAGCCATCAGCCCCAAGAAGGTGCAACAAGCAAAAAAGATGAGAATGTGCCCTCCAGCGACACTCACAGGACCCACAGCACCTGCCAGCCCTTTTTGCCACTCACTCTCCATTTGCCTCCTGCCCACCTGTGTGCTGGGGTTTTTTTGGTTATTTTATTTTATTTGCCTCCTGACTTCTTTTATTCTCCAGAGCAGCATTCAGTTTCTGGACCCATCCGGCCTCCTCCATCCCCTGCACTGCTTTGGCATAGTAAGGAGCAGGAAACTGATTTCTCTAAGGGTCCCCACCACATGGACCCTCTCCACCACAGCAAGAGTTTGGGCAGGCGTAACTCCGGCACAGGGAACCATCCCCAGGTTGCTTCAAACTACCGACTGTGGTGGAAACATTGCAGTTTGGAGTTTGGCAATGTTGATTGTAGCTTCCCAGAGGAAGAGCTTGGCTATCCCTGGTTTAAATACCCTATGAGTGTCTTCTGTGGTGCAAGCACAGACACAAATGTACTCAGAGGGGTGGGGGGAAAGGTGAAGGTGATACACCACAATAAGCCAGTAGAATATACCATAACTGGATGGATAGCATGTGTAGGAGAAAAATACACAAATGGCAATAGTCAGTAACAGAGCTGCTCACACAGACTGCAGGCTGATCTGAAGGGGCTAATACCCTGCCTTATCTTTCCATCTCTCCCAGACTTCTCTCTGACTAGGCAATCTGTCACTACATCTCTACCCCAGAGGACATCAAAAACTGCAAATCTCTGTACCTATGCCTTGTTCCTTCCTCCAACTGAGTTGTTTCAGGCACAAATGTAGGTTAGAACATTTCTCATATGGCTATCTGTACATTTGTGTCTGGGGAAAGGCACTCCACTGATTTTATGCCTTTGATAGAGGGCTTCTCCCCACCTTCAGAACATCTATTTCACAGCAGGGACTGAGAATTGGATTGAGTTTGTGTGATGGATCTATATGGCTTCTCTACAAAGCAGGCACATAAACCTGAAAGCCAGACATCTTTGGTTGTAGGAATGGACTCCCAGACTGGATACCCATGGCACAAAAACCACCAGGAAGTGTTCACCCAACACTAGAATAGTTCCCAGGAAGCTGTGTGTTATTGCTGTGGAAATTTTAATTACAGTTCAATTAACACTTGAAGATCGGTGTTTTCTTTTTTTTTTTGCCAGCAGTCAGGCTTCCTGGTGTTCCCTGCAGGAATTCTGCTGTGGATTAATAAATAGGGTGACATGATCTCAAACAGATAGGTCTCTGCCCATCCTCCTTCTCTCAGCTACATGCAGTCCAAACTTTGTGAAATCCTCCTGGAAGCCCTTGAGAAATGTTCTCGCTTACATCCAAAAAATATAAAATTTATTCTGGGGAAAAAAATAATAAAAGGGAAGCACTGGTTGGTGAAACAAGTTACATTGTAAAAAATCCCATTGGCAACCCCTGGGAAATTATCAATGACTGTTCCTTTGTCCAGGGTCAGTGTCTCTTGGGCATTCTCCTTACAGGCTGCATATGTTTGTGGATGCTCACTGTTATATTTGTTGTTTTGTTTGCACAGGGAAATAGTGTCAACATTCAATTTTTTGGGTTGTCTACAGGACAGTGAACCTGTGATGACTGACTTAGTTCTTTCAGGAGTAGTATTTAAATAGTGATTACTGGAGCTGAATAATTCAGAAAGTTTTCAGATAATCTTTGCTTAGGTCCTGATCTTCCCAAAAAAATGCTCATACTTCATTTTTTTTTGCTTGCACAGTCACACAGAATTAAATGGGAACATGACAGCACATTGAAATCTATGCCTATCATAAATCACCTTTCTGCATCAGGGCCTTAATCACTGCGTGTTAATTTATATTTGATGGGCGAAAAAATAGTAAATAAGTTTGCTTTGGCCACATCTAAATTCCTTTTGTTTTCAGTGATGGTTTGGAAAATATACCTTTGGAAAATAGACCAACAAAAAAAAGGCAAGAGGAAACAGTTTTTAAAGCCACATATGGAAGTTCTTCTGAAAACCCAGTTGTATGCTTGCATAAACAAGGATTCAGCTGAGGTATCTGCACAGTGTTCCTGTCAGGAAACAGCAGTGATGCATATGATTTATCAAAGCACCAGCCACTACATGCCCTGGATATTTGCTCTCAGACCACAGTGTTAAAGATTAGAAAAGGTATCTGTTGAATTCATTTGAATAGCAAATAGACTGGGGAATCACAATCTGTTCTCAGCTGTTCAATGGATGAAAAAAGTAATTTATTGAATATATTAGTCTCTCAATTCTAGCAATTATTAGAGCAGAGTTAGAGAGCTGAAGACTATAATTTCAGGTTCTATATATAATTTCTACAAGCAACTGGTAAGTGTTGTGAGTGCACATAGTTCCTGGCTTCTAGCTCAGTCACAAGTAGTTCGTAACAAATCCTCCCACTCCCCGTTCGGAGGCTGGCTGACAGTGCCCTCAGCCAAGCACTGGTGTAAGGATTTCTAAGATCAAAGCATGGGTTAGCTACATTATTCTTGTGGAATTAGATTTTTGACCTCTGTTTGTAACGCACAAATTACAGTTATGAAACTTAGTCACCTACAATGCTTGCAAATTAATTTCAACAACCAATTGAACAGCTGAGCTAATTCATATTAGCACACAGGGAAAAGAATCTTGGACATTTGCATTTTGCATAAAAGCATGACTGAAAGTACTTCAAGGACAACTGGTAGGATAAAAGCACTTTGGGGAGAGGAAAGACACTGGAGTTGTCAGCATCTGGTGTTTCCAGGACCAGTGTTAAAATTTTGCATAATTTGCTCTGAAATTAAAGCAGGTTTTCCAACCCTCTTATCAGAGAGCTTTTCTCCCAAATGTCCATTCTCTTGGCAGCTCCTGCATGGAGACACCAAGCCCCCAGTCATCCTTTCCTTAGAAACCATTTCATCAACTCAAGTCAGAAGCAGCTGAATGCCTACAGAAGAATCTGGAAAACCAGCATTATGTGTGGAAAGAAGAGGACAGAGCACCAAAAAGATGGCAGATTGCCATTTTGTACTCACCCAATTAATATGCTTCTTCCTCCATTTGCTCTCTTGGTCTTTCCAGTCTCCATAATGCATGGTGAACAGATCACGGGGTGGAGCTGAACTGGTGGCTGTCACCTTATAACATCTCTCCCATAAACACATAGTACTAGCACAGGCAGAAGGCACTGTCGTGCTGATCATCATCCTCTGAGTCAGCCATTTACAACCACCTTCTCCAGGCTGTCATCTTGCCACTACAAATTCAAAATCTGAGTCAGAACCCAATTTAAACTGCTATAATTAACAGTCCCAATTTAACCAAACCTAGCACTTTGTCATGTTGCACTCTCTGCATACATCTGAGCATCTTGCATTTGGGCTACTTTGTTCCCTGCTCATCCCCTTCTGCTGCCAAGCAGCTCAGGTCCAAAGAGCACTAGTGGGTTTAGGCTCCCATCAGGGTAGAGTCTAACAGCAGCCAAACTACAAAATCCCACCATACTGGATTTGTTCACTTGTTAAAAAGCAAAGTACCAAATGTCATGGAATGGGTGCTGCTGTGTGCTAATCTATAAATACTGATGAGTCAAAAGGGGGTGAAGTTCTGCAAGTGATTTGTCAGTGCAAAAGAATTATTGTGTAATGGAGTGGCCCACTGCAATGAGGCAGCTCTGGGGCAGAGAGCCCAGGCTGGCGAGGAAAAAGCTTGGGAGCTGCATAAGAGAAAGATGGGTGGAAGCATCTTGCTCACTGGTCAGTCCCAGGAAACTTGCACCAGCCAAGTTTTCTATGTGAAAGATAATTGTTTATTAAACAAGCTAAAAATGAGCACTATTCCCCTTGTTGTTTCTATATACTCCTGTTACTAACAAATGCTTCACTCTGAAGAGGGCTTCACTGTGGATAGTTTAGAGTGTCCCTGCCTCCACTTTAAGGGAATTCCCTGCTTTATTTTTAGGGGATTGCAAATAGGTGACTTACAGATTAACTCATGTTTTTGCAGCCACAGGTGATGCCAAAACTGTGGGTGTAAACATATTTCTGAAAAATGCGTCTTTTTAAGATTTAGGGAAGATTTTTCCCTCCACCTTCTCTCTATTGCTTCCTTTCCTTCCTCTCACCATCCAGTTTGAATGACTTCTTTGCATTTTGGTGTTGTTTATTTTTGCAGTGCTGTCTGGAAGCCACCACTAAGAGGTTCTGTCTTTTAAGCCAAGTACAACTGGAGAACCATCCACTGCCCATACGTGTTTACAATCTGCATGTGACGTGAATGGACTAACAGAGCTTATTCATACATAATTCATACAGCAGATCAGCAGGCAAGCTGGAATAAACTCCATATCTCCAAATCTGATTTAAGTAACTTAGGCTCTAAATTGCACCCACTCTGCTGTCTCAGTACTTTGCTGTGATCCTGCTCCATTCTGTGGCTTCCCATGTGTGTAACATTCTGTGAAGACACCCAGTTGAGCCCATTTCAATGGATTATTTTTATTGTACTTACTTTTATTGCTCTACTTCCTTACTGAAATACATATCAAAAATTACAGAATTTTTTTACGAAGTCCTTGAGAAACCCACGACTCTCATGCTGGCTATGTCAAACACTTGTATTTAGGTGCCAATGAATGTGTGGTCTTCTCATGATGTCCTCATCATTATTTTAGCTTCTGTTTCTACAGTGATATACATATCACTGTATAAATGATCATTATATGTCTTGGGGGGAAAAGATAAATATATTTTTGACAGTACTTTTTAAATATCTACAACTGCACATTTCCACACTGCCTCAGGAAAGTGTACAGCACTCTCCCAATCAAGCTGTTGTTCTTCACTAGCTCTTATAGAACGTATGCATACACATAATAGACATATAATATTATATGTCTGAATATATGCTTGTATCTACAGAAAAATCCAATGGAGTTCTCATTTATACTCACAGTGACCAAACTGAGAAATAAAAAATCTTGCTTCAGCCTATATATTTTACTTCAGTGAATTATTTTTATTGATGTGGCAAGTCTTAATTTTAAATTCAGTTTTGATGAAAAAAGTATCTGATCTTTTGCCTGCTATTATGCAAAATATATTTCTATCAAGTGGAAGGAAATACAATTTGTAAAATTATCAATTCCATAATGATTACAGTGGGTAAATATATTCTCTAATATAATTTGTTAAATGGAGGAATTTCATATGAAATAGTAGATTTCCAAATTTATACAAATAACACCAGATGGTGATCAGCTAGTTTTAATTAAATTAGGTTTGATAATTATAGCTGCTTAATTTTTAGGTTTGACTCAGATTAGAAAGAATGTATTATTTTCCTGTAAAATTATTTTTAGTTTTCTTCCATGGTTGTGGATATTGCATTATTCACTGTCACCTGGAGCAGCAGAGAGCTCTGGTCAACTTCCTGGCAGCTGATTTTGGCCAGCCGTGGTTCTGCTTCAGCAATCCAGAGGATGTGGTGTGCTGGACCCCCTGACAGGAGTCAGAGGGAGTTTTGCCAATGGGAGCAGGAGGGAGTTTCACCACACCCAAATTTGTTTGCACAGGTCAATCTGTTGACTCCAGCACCTCATTTCAGATGCTTTGGAGCAAAGGAAGAAGTCTGATGAGAACGATGCCTTTGCGCTCACCATGAGCATTTCTGTGCTGCCACTGCAACGATCCATTTGCACATGTGCATGCCTGCATTCCCTGCAGTTTGTGGCTGCTGCATTCCCTCTGGGAGCACCCTGCAAGGGCTACAGCCTGTTCAGCCACACACAGCAATAAAGTGATGAGCTCTGGCACTAGTACCCTGCTCTGGCACATCCTTTTCCATCACTACTGCTTTCCAGAAGTTCCTCTGGTCTTGTCCCAGCCTTGAGCTCACCAGGTCCCAGTGACTTCACTGAGCCATGGAAATATGCTTAAAGCCACAAATGTGTCCAAGCCCTTTTCTGAATGTGGATAGAGTCCAAAGCCTATCTTGCAGGACCAGCTTCCTGCTAATCAATGGTCTCAATCCCACGAGAATCACCTCTTGCCTTTGGAACAAGCTGAGTATGATCAGGATCCATATAATCAAGTCTGTTCCATTTACAGGTCTGGCAGTTGCAGCCACAAGCCCAAAATGAATGCTTTCATCAACTTTGCAGGTCACAACTGCAAAAAGGGTCATGGCTGCAGTCATGCCTGTGAATGCTCAGCTTCTCCCCAGCAGCAGGATGGTGCAGGTTGTAAGATCCAGGGGAGAACAACTGTGGGGTGTTTGCTCAGTGGATGGTGTGATGCTCAGGGGAAAAAGGACTCTTTCAGTGTGACTGAGTTCATGGCACATTTCTCATTTCTTGAGCTGTTAATCTGCCTCCTGGAGTCTGTACACCATAAAAAAAGAGGTTTGAGTCATTGTATCATCACAGTTCAAAGGCACTTGGAATATGGTAATTGTAATTGAACATATAATTGAGAACTTCAATGTTGCAGTTAAAAGATGTGTCCAGGATCTGCCTATAACTCGTGGAAATCTTCAAATGCTTGTAACTTCAAGCAAAATTTTAGGCTGGAAGAAGCCAGCCCAAGGGCTTACTCTCAATTTCAGATGACATTGGGAAACTTACAAGTTTCCTTAAATCCTCCCCCCCACTTCAGCTTTCTTACAGCTTATGCTTGGACTGGCACACAGGCAAGGTGGTGCTGTCCTGCCTCCTCTCTCTAAAGTCCTTTTTCTTTTATCTCAGTTTTCTCTCAGCATGGTTCTTCTTCCATTATCTGCCTAGTGCAAATCCTGTCTCCTGCTCTGCTTTCTCTTTTTGTGTGTGCTGAAAGGCAGCCTCCCTGAATTTGGATGATATTGATTATGTAAATCAGCACTTCTCCTCTAGATTGCTTTTTCTTTGTGAACTGGGAGCATAATTTGCAGTCTTCTACCTGATAATTGTGAGGATAATTTGAGCTGTCTCTTTGTGGAGTCATCAGTGACTGTTTTAATTTCCATATGTGAGCAGTGCTCTTCTATTTTTAATTTTTTTCCTAATCCTACCTCCTTCTGAACTACTGGATTGATTCTGCTGTTCATAACAGCATCACCTGAAGTCTATTTTGGAATTTCCACTGCCAGCAAGATTGAAATTTATCTACAATGTGGCAGGTTTTTCAACATTTCCAGAAAAGATATAATCCCATAACTATCAGCCTGACAATAAAGTTGTCTATCTATAATGGAAAATTGAGGACTCATGATCATGTTTTTCACTGCAAAAATGTTTCAAAATTAAGTAAAACAATACCATTTTGTTGTGAATAGCACATGTTGTTCATCAACTTGAAAACCAATAGGTTTGAAAATTAAAATAATGAGAGGTTCATGACATATCATTCTTTTATTCAGCATTGAACACAACCTACTTACAAAGGGCCATGTAGCACATTTCATAGCAAATGAGATTCAGGTAATCTACTACATGGGTTTGTAAAGGATAGAAGGAAAAATAGAATAGCCTATTACTGGCCATTGTCCCAGAAAAGGTGACCATTGCTTTATTATACCGTTTTTTAAAAAGCACCACAAGCAGCTTCCTCCTCCCTGGTTCACAGGATGTTGGTATTGGCTAAGCACTGAAAATATGCTGAAGGTTTTAGAAGATACAAGTAAAGAGGAGCTCTGAGCCGAGGCAGAGACCCAAAGGCAGCTCCCTTTGCTGTCAGCAGTCCTCTGGAGCTGGCTCCCCGGGCATCCAAAGGCTTCATAGAGCACAGAGGCAGAACATCTCTGCAGTGCCTCGGGCAGGACTAATGATAACATGGCCATGGCTGCCTCATCTGCCAATTTCTTATCAGAAGCTTCAAGCCTGACCTCACAGAAAATCCATGTAGGATATGGCTGTGATTGAACTAGCTTCTTTGGAACTGAGTTTCACTAGGAATTGCACCATTAAGGGGGAAAAAAAAAAGAAAAAAAAAAAGAGAGAGAGAGAAAAATCTCCAAAGCTGCAGCAAGAACGTAAAAAACTATCTCAAATGTCTCCACAGGAAAAAAAAAATACTTAGGCGTTTTATTTTTATAAACTAACCATATCCCCTTCCATTTTAATTAATAAAACAGTATCAAATGCTACACTAACTTCTCTATGTGAAAAATAGTTTGGAGGAAGTATGTTCTATTCCAAATATGTCCAAAAAGGGTCACATCTGACCCAATCAATATGCTATTTAAAATTTCTGTCTGCAAGAGAAATGTCATGGTAATTAGTACATTTTCATGAAATAGTTCCCTTTGGACAAACTGGTATTTTCTAACAGGAAAATATTCTGTTAGGAAATTTCAGATTGATTCTACTGTTAACAGAATGCTCAGTTGCACCTGCAAATAAAGTCACACATCTGGGCTCTGTTAAAATCAGTCATGATTCTGTCAGAGGCTTCAAAGAGTCAGGAATTACAAATGTGGAGGCACGTGTGTATGAATATATGTATCTGTATCATTTATGTGTATCATCTATCTTTTACATATCTATACCTAGATAATTATAGATCTTGCTATATGCACACCGGGAAAATGACTGGTCTAACAGATGGGAGTCCTGCAGGAAACCCTAAGAAGAGCCAGTGTTGCAGGAGAAGAGAGGCAAAGGCATATGTTTTGTTGTAGCTTGAATTACCAGAGAGCTAATCCCCAGGAAGGGGGTATATTTGACCTTCTGCAGCATGGGGAAAGTTAACCTTTAATATTTCTCAATCAACACATTCCAGGGGAAACTTTCTGTTTCATTGCAGTATTAAAAAACCATAGGGATATCTGCATTTTTAGCAAGCCATAGAATCTAGAGGGTTGGATTTTTTTAGCACCAGTCACACAATTTGTCAACACTGTACTAGCTGAACAGTCAGTCAAACAAGCCTCTCTTAATTCTTGAAATGTGGCCAGTTTCCCAAATTTAAACAAAGCGGCCAAAGATGTTTATTTTCATTCTTGGTTAGCTGGTAAATGGTTTGAATGTGATATTAAGCATCATTAGCAACTGTTGAAAGGTGAAATGATTTAAATGAATAAGAAATGCTACATTTCAAAATGTATGGGGCTGTATTGCTCCCATGAGAACTCCCTGATAGATTTAGGGTGTGGAGAGTCAATCCTTTATCATCATGCCTTCCTGCTTCTTAAATATTTTGACATCCAATTGGACACTAAAGTATAATGCTGAAATATACCATACAAAAAATAATTTCGTGGTAGAGACTTGTATTCTCATAGGAAAAATTTCAGAAGTAGATGAAATTGTTTGAATAGTAAGACTGGGGGGAAAAGGCTGTAAATGTCCCTTAAGAACACATTTGCAATGCATTCACAGTAGCACTAAAACTTGCAGATAAAAATACAATAGACTAAAAAATAGGCTAACAAATTTTCAACTCATGCACAATAGTACTAAAAAATACAGATTTAAATACAGTAGGCTAAAAATATAGGTACATCCTCTCTGTTAGCAGTGCATAAACACACATGTCTCTGTGTCTGTGTGGGAGTGCATGTCTGGGCACGTATGGATGGAGATATGAACCAAGGGCATCTCTTTCCTTTGACATCTACACAGAAATACCTTCCTCCACTAGTTCTGCTTTTGAAAAGTCAGTAATTTTCTTTGTCTTCTTTCAGCCTGGTACAAAAATCCTCTGAAATTCATTGTCTCTTGTGACCTTAATTCTGTTAGTCATGCCTAGATACTGCAGCAACCTATGGGTTAAAGTATCATATACCACACACATCCACGGAACTGGAAGCTTTAATTTCAAATATTCCTGCTTTTGTGTATTTATGTCAGAGCTCCAGCACTGCTCTTTCAGTGGGGAAAGAGGGAGATTATGGGCTCGTTATCTGGCCAGTAGTGTCAGCACTTCAAAAAATATGGGTTTCTCAAGATAGTAGGTTCTATATATGCTGAGTATCTGTCTATCTATCCCTCAGCCTTCACATCTAAGGATGTGTAAATGAGTATGTGCATGTGTAAATGAGAATGTGCACAAATATACATGTGAATATGTGTAATTATACGTTATGATAATTAGAGTAACTGTACACAAAGCTGGAACAATGCTTTGTTCTGGTTGCCACATTCTTCAGATTCATACTGGAAGCCCATAGATTTATTTAATCAACATATCAGAGAGAATTGGAAAATGAGGCTTCAAAATGTTGGGCTAATTACCAAAGCAGAATCAGAAAGGTTAAAAAATATTAATGTGCATCATTAGGGCAGCATAACCTATTGAGCATCAGCTGATGAGAATTTATTGTGGGAGTTCAGACAGGCACATACCACGACTGTAAGAGGAATTAAAGTGTATGAGAGCGTGCTTTTGTGTCCAGTACTCCTGATAACGTTCTCACATGCTCACAGTAATAACTCTGCATTTGATTTTAATTGTTTAGCTGCCTGGACTGTGATTGCTCCCTGTCAAGCACTTATATTACTTAAACTCCCCACTGAGGTATCTGGGTACTCATGACGTGCATCCACTGATACAGTTAGCACTCTGTGAATGTTTGCCAAACTTCTCTTCTGATCCCCAAGACCATGCTCTGGGATCACAGTCATACGGGAGGGTCTCTGTTTAACCTGCACTGGCAGATGAGAGAGCAAATCTTGCTAACACACCCTCACTCCCTCTGCCTGGCTAAGGGAAGGAGCATGGTGTTTTTGTTATAAAAGACTTCGCTGCTTGCATTAGAAATGGCAGCGAAGTAGCCTGAGGGATATGCTTGTGTGTTGTGCTAACAACACATGTTAGATCTATGCCAACATCCTCCTTACTTCTCTCCCAGGTGCCTTAACTACAGCGGAGACACAGAGGCTGGTAGTACCTGCTCCAAGGGGAGAAGAAGTAAATGCTGGAGACATCTTTCAGGAACAGAGAACATGAGCTATGCGTTACGCACTCTTTTGGTTTCAGAGCTAGTGGTAAATCCAGACCCCCGGTAGGACCTAATTGCCTCCCATCTGAACACTAACTCACAGGCTAAATGCTGTCGAGGCGAGATGGGGACTCATTTCCAAGAACACAGGCACAAACACATTTTTATTGGCCATAGAAAATGGTAGTGTGTGTGCCAATATAGATAGCATGGATGTCTGACTCAGAACACAAAGTGCAGGTGCCAGCAGCAAGAAGATGCTGCTAAGAAATAGCAGCTCTGTGGGACTGCAAAGTATCAGCTATCTGGGGAGACCAGAACTGGGAAAAAGAGACACTGATGATTGAAAACACTTTTTTTTTTGCCATCTCCACACATCCCCTTGAGCTCTTCACCCTGCAGTCGGAGCACAGAACCGTGGCAGTGGGAGTGATGGGGCTGCCCCCTCTGAGACGGATCCAAAAATTCTGACCTCCTCTTCCTCAGGGAAACTTGCAACTCCAGAGACTCTTCATCCACATGAGAGAGGAGTGAGAGGGCAGTGTTAGATAAATGCAGAAATTCCTCTTCTCCTCACGGGATGTTCCTGGCAATGGATAAGACCTCGTGGCTTGGCTTGCCCTCATCCCCGGAGTCTCCTTTAGGAGGTAATCTTCGGAGAAGAGAAAATCAACAGCATTACTATATTTTGTACAATGCCTTGCACAGTGTATCCCTGATGTGACTGGGCTTTTGGGCACATCAGACCTACAGGTAATAACTACAAACAGTAACTGTCTCTGAGGATAGGAGTGGAAAAGGAAATTGTCTTTGGATAAAAATAGTTCCTTTTGATTGTGTATTTTCTGCTGGCTCTTTGCCTTCAGGCAATGTATGACAACTTGAGAAGCAGGGAATTTTATCCCCAAGGTGATGTTTTTTGCTCTCTACCTTAAAGTCAGTCAATATTTGTAATTATCTGCCCATGCCACAGGTAACTGCAGGACTTTTTGGGGAAAAAAAGAATGAAGATGGTAACACAATTTCTGACAAGATTTGGAGAAAAGATAACAAAAAGCAGGCTGGTGGGTTTAAATCCCCTGCACAGATCTCAAAGACTTTCTTGTTTAATACAAGTCCTTTGTACCTTATGCTCACTTTGCAAAACCTATATAGGTGCAAGTGTATGTCTTTCTGTGTGTATGCACTCACATATGACCACATTTGCTATTTGCATATGTGTATGAATACATGCAGCATGTGTAGGCAGTGAAAAGCTAAAGGAACATATGCAAGGTTGACAAGACCAAAATTTGATCCTCCTTCAGCCTGCTGGGCTTTTCTAAGTGTGTGCTGGGGCAGAAGGAGAAAGAATCCCCTTTTGGTCTAAAGATGTAGAGAGACTGAGACTGCAGGAGGATAGGAACCCCAGCTCAACAGCCTGGTGCTGAAGAGTTAACTCAGCAGACTGGGTTTTCTGTTAACACAGTCATGCTGCTGACAAGCATCGGCAGCATGATCGTCCTCTCCTTCCTGGCACCCAACGTGAGCCAGCAGAAACTTGCCTGGAGATGAGTGTCTCAAACTGTGCACACAGCATCCTGACAGCCTGCATCCCTTGCCAGCTATCAGTGACAGAGCTGACACGGAGAGGCAAGAGAGGGCACAGCTGGCATGCAAAACCCTGCCATCAGCACGCCCGCATCTGCTGGGTCTGTTGTGAGCAGTTCACCCAGCTGGGATTTTAATACGGCTGCATCCCTCCTTTTGAAAAGTGGTATTTTTCCCCCTTGATAATAGAGATGTGAAAAAAGAACAAACACTAAATTAAATGTTTTTAGGGTAGCACATGCTTGTGAAATTTTAGGCCTGTTGACCTTGGCAGGATCCCCATAAAAAATTAGTACAAAATTAGTGTCATTTGTTTTTCTGAAAGGCTGTCAGCCACAAAGGCAAAGGCAGGCAGAGGGAGAAGCAGCCTGCTGATACAGGGCCCCATCCTGAAGATCCTGCCCGTGATCCTGCTGTGCTCCACAGGTCTGGGTGCAGGATGCTTGGTGGGTTGCGGTGAAATGAGGGGGCAGATGTGTGGCACAGTCATTCCTACGCTTCACAGTTCCTCAATTGCAGCTGCCATCAGTGGGCGTTTGTAGCACCAGGCACCCCACACCCAAACCTGCAAACTGCTGCAGGAGCTCACAGGTGCTGACAGCTCTTGTCACCTCCAGGGAACTGCTCAGATCCACACAGGACTGGCCACACACACACACACCACTCACACATGGCACCTTGCCTGTCAGCTCCTGACACTGTCTGCGCTCTGACAGATTTTTTTATTTCATGGATGGACAGACAGCTCTCGACCCGGAAGATTCCTTTTCTTTCTTCCATGGCCTTTGTATTTTAGTGGAAAGCCTTAAATAGCATTTCTGTAATCATGTTTTTCTGCTGACCCATATTCTCACACAGGTTCACTCAGCTGCTCCAGGTTCAGCTTATTAAATCCTTCCTGGGTAGCTGGGAAAGCAGAATAAGTTATCCAGGAGGAGAACCAGGCCTTAGGAGCACAGGAGGCAAATGTAAGGGATGGCCCCCTTCCTGGCAGTGCTGGAGCTGAGCCCTTGCAGGGTTTCTCTTCTGCTGATTCTTGCAGGCCAGGGCCTTGCACCAGCAGGAACCTGGGTGCTGATTTAAAGGTCATGTGCTCTGCTAGAGATAGGCAAAGGCTTAGGGCTGGTGATGATTTATGAATCCTGATGCAGGATTTTGAGGTGTCTGGCTCTTGGGGTCTAGTCCAGAGCCAGAGAAAAATTCTGAGTTCCCTGCACCTCTGAATAAAATCCATATGGTGTATACCCTTCTTCCTGCCTCCTCTCTTGCACAGTATTCTCATGACAAGTGCTTGGAATGCTGAAGATCCCAAGCAAAAATCCCTTTTCTCTGAATTGCCATTCCTTCCTCTTAAAACTGGTCACTTTTAAAAACCAGATATGAAATTTATTTTATTTTACTTTCTCCCAGCATGGGGAGGTGGGTGTCAATTCCTGCTGGAAAAGGCTCTTTTTTTTTTTTTTTTTTTTTTTTTTTACTTTTTTTTTGCAAGATTCAAGAGCAGGGTAATCCCCAGGAAGGTGGAAAACATGGATTTGAACTTCTGCAGGCAAGAGAGGACACTGAGCCTGGATTTGCCACATTGCCATCATAGTACGACCACATTGCCATCATAGTACGACCCTGTTATCTCTATCCCTACTCTGTACTAAGAACCACCTGGAAAACACACAGTTTGTGGATGTCACTGGATTTAAGCACATGACAAAGGCTGAGTTGCTGAACTGTGGTAAGGTACTCAGGTACTTAATGATCCTGGTTCATACAGGTGTAAGAAATGTTGGTAAAGATTTGAGGCATCCACAGGCTATTACTCCTGTACTGGGTTACCAGAATTTGTCCACATCCTTCTCCAGACTTGAACCCTTCCCTATTCATAGCACAGTAATAAAGTTCCACTACCAATCAGTTTTAGTAAGTTTCGTGAAGTTTTTGAATTAAATTTTGGCCCCAGAGCCATTATGGTATAATAAATGCTTATGTTGTAAATTGGTAATTCCAGAGCAAAACATTTTCTTTTCAGTCTGATAATTCATCTGGAAGTGTATAAATCTACAGGGCAATCCCGTATTTCTCCAAAAAATAGAAGGACAAGGGGTATATTTTTTGGTTCTCCAATTAAAAAGTGATGCTAAATTACAGACCTCAACTTAAGCAGCACTGTAGCTGCAGATAAGACAAAGAAGAGACAATAACAATGAGCAGAGCAGAATGGATCCATTAGCAGCATGAATCCATTATACTTCCTCAAATATTTCTAAAATAACTGAGACCAACAGATACCAAAAATTCTGTGGAATCACTTAGTTGAGCTGGCCAGCTGGTCTGTAGCTCCCAAATCCATCTTTTCATAAACTGGGGAGGAAATAATAGAGCACTAAAACCACTTTTTTTAAGTGACCATGCTCTGATATTGCAGAGATAAAATATGATCATTCATTCCTCAGTTTAAGCAAACCAGAAAAAGTCTAGTCTGGTTTAACTCTACTGAGGAGGTACTGCATAGGGATAGATTTTAATTTTTAATGAGATATTGAACCAGACAATTAATCTCTATCTTTAATGATTAAGATGTGGATAATATTGCCCGTAAGTCATTGGTGTTGGATGCAAGTTACTACGGCAGCAAAAGGTAATGGTGTATTTTTTCCTGGTCAGTTCCTTATAGAAAAATGCTTAGCTGACTTGCAATAACACAAATAGAACTCACAAAAATCAAAGTTCTGCTTAGCTTCAGGAGTCCCAGCACTTCAGATTTTGGAAGAGAAAATGAAAAAAAAAAGAGAATAGCACTTTAGGCTTTGGAAAGAGACAAAGGTTCATTAAGCACTGTCTGAGAAAGAGATTAAGTATTCGTAGAAAGGAACAAGAACTGCAGCAGAACATTGATAATTCCCTTCCTCTTCCCTTTCCCTTCTTTTCTTTCTACTCATTCATTTCCAATCCAAATAAATCTTTCTCTTCTCGTATACTTTTATCTCAGGAGTTACTAAACATTGTCAGATTTTGAGGCAAGGTGTCCTCTCTGCCCCTGCCCTTCCCCACTTTTTTTACAGAGGTGCTTCAGGCCTTCAGAAGTCCCTTGCCCTCCTCTTGGAGCACTCCCTTAGTTCAAGTGCCACACAGACCACCAGAAGATGCCTGTGCCAAGCACTAAAGCCTCTGCAGAGATGCTGTGGGCAGAGTCTGGAGGAGATGCCATATTGCCCCCCAGGAGTGCTAAAATACTGCCAAGGACCTTACCACTCTCCAGAAGAGCCAAGGACACAGAGGGCACAAGCGCAATCCGTGACCATATTGGTCCCTTCCGTCCCACGGCACTCCTCGCCTCCCACGCACACCCTGCTGTGCTGTGTGCTCATGCAGAGGGACACTGCACTCAGACACGCTAATACCTGAGTCCCTGAGCTGCACACAGAGACGTGCCTGTCATTTCCTGAGCTCTGCCACGGATGGTTAATTGTCAGTAATTGGCATCTGCCAAGAAGCCCCCTGAGACAGGGGCACCAACAGATTTCTGCCAAGGCTCATGTTTTGTACCAAATATCCCAAGGGAGAATCTCGGCTACGTAAAACTCCAATATCTTGAATTTCTCAGAAAAGCCTCCAACACACTGACTGACACCTCGGAGCAGTTAAGTGCCCCAGCTAGTCAAATACACATAATTATAAAGTAACTGCAAGGGTGAATAACGTATCACACATTGTCCTTTGAACATACGGACTCGCAGATTCTATGTAATGAGCAATAGTCTGTGTGTTGCTGGGATCTCATATAGCTTGGGGAGTAGGTTATATATTCATATAGTGAAATGTGGCAGCTCATCTGTCCCCACAAAAGCACAGGAGCTGCTGTAGCCCTGCAGTGATGCTGCTAGATGTGAGGCTGGTCAGAAATGGAAACTGAAATAAACAACCAGTTTTAGATCTTTGAGCATCAAGTCCCTGAGGCCATTCTAGAAACAGGAGTGCTAAACTGCAGCTCCATGGCGTGCTTAAACAAAAACTAATATAGCTTATCCCTCCTTTAGTGAAACAGGCCCAGGGCACCTGCAGAAGGAGTTTCACGTTTTTCTTGGCATTGTCAGGCAGCTAGTAGGAGCTCTGAAAAGGTTTTGATGTGGATTGAATAGTGCTCTTCCAGATGGTGGCCAAGGTCAGGGATAGCCACAGGTCAGACTGCTCTGATGGCTGGGCACTGTGAGGAGAAAGAATTCCATTGCTCTAACTTATGCACCTGGCACTCCACATACCTGTGACAAAGTGTGGGAGCATCACCTGAGCCCAGCCCTGCAGCTCCTTCATCCCTACCCGTGCTTGCCTGCTGAGCTCCACTGCCCCAGGTCGGGCTGCTCCACCAGCACAACAGAGGGCATTGCCTCACCTTGCCAACATCCCAGTGGGCCAAAAATTATCCTGGAACTATCCTGGAACTGGGGATTTCTGGGCTCGAGCACACACAGCACCAATCAGCTGAATCTGGCTGAGGCCAGGTCTGCAGCCCAGAAGAGGTGAAGGAAAGCAGGGGCAGTGAGCAGCAGTTTCTCTAGAAGGGGAGGTTTCTTCAGCAGCTGTTTCTCTAGAAGGGGGAGTGTTTCTCTGTGGGTAGCTTGTGCTGAGGACAAGACATGGACCTCTGTGTCATGCATGGGGAGAGTGACAGCTGTGACAGCTGTGACCCAACCATCCAGATCTCCCATGGCAAGTAGCCCTGGCTCCTACCCCTGGGATTCAGGACTAAGAAAGCCAAGGTCTGAAGCCTTGGCACTAGGAGCAGGTGGGCTTTCCAATATACAGAGTTGGCTCTTACAAATGGTAACCTCAAGCATCCATTCTGTGGGGAATTCCAACATTTTGCATTCATTGTCAGCAGAAATGGCCCCAGGTTTAAACCTCCCACACTGCAATGTCTATGAGGAAATATAACTGCTATCAGCTGACAGATTTTGCTTCTGTTTTGATTTGGGGAGCTTTTAAATTTTTTTAATTTAATTTTTATATATGAATAGAGCATAATAATTCTTTTAATTATAAACAATATCAGATATGGTAATGCAATAATTCATTAGTATTCTAATTGTTAAGTGCTACTGTAACTGATATTTGCTTTGGTAATTGGTATTTTAATTGGTAATTGGTGTTCCAAAAGGCCATTGGGGTAATTCTTACTAGTGACTGGTAATTACAATGGAAATTTTTAATTGGTATTCTAATTGGTTTGGTAATTCATATTTGGTTTCTCATTGGTAACAGAGCAAAGTGGTCATTTGTAATAGATAATTGGTTTGGTAATTGATTTAGCAATTGGCATGGTAGAGACTACAAAACAAGAGATCAAAACACACTGATTTATTAATAGTGTAAAATTTGTATGCATGATATATCATATTCTGAAATTAAAGCTAGTTTACAAAACTGGCAATTAAATAATTTCAAACCAAAAATCTCTTACTAAAATATTTAAATTTTAGAAAAATAACTAATTGTAAGAATTTATTTTATAAGTCCTCTCCTCTTATTAAGATGTCTTGGCATGTGTGAGCTCACATACCAGAGGATCAGTCTCATGACTCAGCTGGTCAGGCTGAAACCCAGCCCCAGCTGTACCTCCCTGACACCCTGGACTTGGTCCCCAGAGGAACATTTCCTTGTTATCCTGCTTTGAAACTACTGCTCCTGAACTATCACCTGAACAACACATCAGCCTGCAGAACTTTTTATGGCAGAACTTTCCCCAAGATTGGTCTTCAGTCAGGATATTTAATGCCCTATGAAATCAGATGTGGTAAAAGCAGCTGAGTTGTTAAAAAGGTTGTTCCTCATTTCCCAAATATATGGGATTATTATATTACATATGATTATTTTCTATACTGGAGGTTCTTTGTTTGACTTTCTGCAATACAGGAAAGAGCGCAAGACACTGGGTGGGAAATCATGTTACTTAGAAAAAAAAGGACTTGGAGTGCTGCTATGTTAAGGAGTGCTGCTATCCATGAAAAAACAGCAAGACTAAGATCTAAAGAGAAGAGTAACTAAAATTGCTCACTACAGCCTTTGATGCAAAGAAATACTTGGTTGCTTATATAACGGATGGTACAAATTTTCACAGAGAAATATCCAGAACTGCCAGCACTATTTCTGTCCAATTATGGCCTTTGGAAAACTATTGATTTTCTTTCAGATGCATCAAGTTGAGCATCCAATGTACATTCTTCCTCTCCAAAATGCTTTGCCCAAAGATGTTTGAATATCTGGCTCATTAGACTGTGTGCTTCCATGATCAGCATAGAAATCCAAGACAGAAAATACCCTTTCGGTCATCCAACCCAACCCTCAGCACTGTGGAATTGTTCCCTCTCCCTCTATACACTTTTGACTGTTTTATTCAGCCCAGTTATAAATGACTCAGATAATGAATTCCCCTGCAAAAAGGCTCACCAGCAGTGACCACCACTATTATGGACTGGGATTACATCCAGTTACAAGGAGCCTTTATTACAAAGAGCCTGTGTTTCGAAGTAAAAAAAAAAAAAAAAAAAAACAAAACAAAACAAAAAAAAAACACCAAAAAAACAACCCAACATTTAAAAGACATCTTAATTTTTGAGACTGTGTCTATTTCAGAGAATTAGAAATTAATCTGGACCTTTAACTACAAACCAGAAATTCCTCAGGGTTGGGTGAGGAATTTCAGGTTCTTCAGAGCATAGCAAGAGTTTTGGTAAGAGCTCAGTTGGTAAGACTGGTATTTTGAGGGTATGACCTTCAAATTTTAAAAATTCTGCTTGTAGCTTAACCTACCTGGTTTTCAAGAAAAATTTCCTTCTGTCTCCTCCACTTCAAATAATATCAAGGACAGGGAATTATTTTTAAAAGGCTCCTTACAAACAGGAATATGAGGGTGCATTTCTAACATCATTTTTGAGATCACTTTTATCCTTCTTAAATTATTTCCAAGCTCTATGAGGGTTTCAGCAAAACAATTTAAAATGCTTGTCTCCACTAATTCTCCTGAACCAGTAATTCAAGGCTGATTTGTAAATCCTTACATAATGTTTACGGACTTTATACTGTGCAATTGCATTTTTCAAATGCTTCTCCTTTCTCATATTCTTTTCCGAAGTCTTTTAATTTAGCCAATCAAAACCCATTTATTTCTGATTTGAAAATTAGTTAATGCAAATAAGGCCTGGTTGACATTTGCAAGTCATTTGCAAATGCCCTTATAGCCTGCAGTCCCTCTTCTTGCCCCTTCTGAAACCACATTTATGCATTTATCTGTGTTATTGATTGTGTGTTGGGTATATACTTTGAGATACAGCAAGAAAACATGATCTATTGTTGCTGGTCAGTATATGTGCCACATGTTAATTATTATTCACATGTAAGAGTTTTGGCTATGTCTACATTGGAGCTCACAGCAGAGACTCCTTAAAAAAATAATGATAAAGATACCTTGAGTTCTTCCTACACAGCAAAGACACTTCTTGGGGTCAAAAACATGAAGTGGCCCCTGTATGCACCACTGTGACTAATAAAGTCCATGTGCACTATTCTGGTTCTGTGCTTTATTGCTGTACTGTATTGCTTCTGGACCAAATACAAAAATCAGTACAAGCAAATCACATTACACTCCTTTGCAGGGGTAGGCTTGTCCTTCCTTCAGCTACAGCCAGTGTGGGAGGATTTGCTACCTTATTTCTGCCACCAAAAAAAAAAAAAAAACAACCAAAAAACCACCAAAACCAAAAAACCCAAAAAACCCCCA